TGTTCCTAACAACAAGGTTTCCGGTTCTACTCCAGCATGGGATGGTGGGCTATGCCCATCCACAACTAAGATTGAACATGGCAACTAAGATTGAGCTGAGCGGCCGCAAGCTGCAGACGAGCGGCTGGATGACAACTGGACTTGGAGCTGAGCTAGCTGCGCCCTCCACAACTAAGATTGAAGGATAACAACTTGGCTGTTCCCCTTCCCCAATCCCTCAAACACTGTCCCCCTTCCCCAATAAAATTGTAAAAAAAGAAAAAAAGAAAACCACAGGCTGAGTGTAAGCAGGAAAAAAACGTAACGGGGGCAAGGTTACAGGAGAAGATTGGGGTGAGGGAAAGAGATGTCCTTCCCCCTTAACCAGACTATGAGATTCTTGAGGGCGAGGACAATGTCTTCTACTTTTTTTCTGTGTCCTTCACAGGAACAAGCACCAACTCAAAGCAGAACAGGGCTGGGCTTGATCAGGAGAGGTGAACCCGAACTAGCTAGGAAACTACAAGACCAGGGGAATGCATAAGACATAAGTTCAAAGATGCAGCTTCAGGAGGAAGTGACATATACTCCATCTAGCATTTGGAAAGGGCATGGACTTGGAGCCACAAGCCTGAGTTTCAATCCCACCTCAGCCTGCTGTGTGGTCTTCAGCAATTTGTGTATTCTCTTAGAGCCTCAGTTTTCTTGTCTTTGAGTGGGATAGATACACTTATCACAAAGCTGTTGTGGCAATTATTAATTAACACAAATTAATTTGACCGAATTCATTTTAAATGAATTAATGGGCTAGTGTACATGTATAGCCTCTAACCCAAGACCTGGTACAAACTTGGCATTCAAAAATCACTGGTCCTTTCTTCTTTCCCTGAAGTTACAGCTGCTATACTGCTTTGTTACATTGCTTTGGAAAAGCTGAGCCTTTGAGTCTACAAATCTACTTTGTAGATCTACAAAATATACAATGCCTGTGCAAATAACCATACGCTGGCTCTGTGACCAAGGAGTTATTATTCCCTCTTAGCGCCAACATGTGGTTATCTCTAACAGGCACTGTTTACTTTGGACCAGAGAGAAAGGGAAGCTTCTGCAAGATCCCAGACCAGCCAAAGCAGCTCTGCCCAGGTCTCCTTAACCAAAGCACTTCACGCTCCCGGAGACCCCCACCCCTTATTCATGCCAGCCTCTTCCACCAATGCCCCATGACCTATGACGTCAACTGCACCTGGCTGGAGCCAGCCCCAGAGAGGGAGCAGGGCCAGTGCTCCAGAGGTGACTTCCATCCTGCTGGCAATACTGGTCTAGCTGCTAACATTCCCAGGACAGCACACCCCCACTTGGATTTTTAAAATTCCTTTCTGACGTGATAAGGGGGCACAGGGAGAACAGGACTAAGACAGCAGGAGGGAGCAGCATCTGTTCCTACTGTCCTCTGCATTTACATCCAATACAGACGTCAGTCTGGATCCGACTGCTACCCAGCAGGCTGCGACAGGCTGGAGGAGATGAGAAAGTACAGGAGCGTGGAGGAGGGGAGGTGGGACAGACAGGGGAAGGTTGTTTCCTGCATTACAAGACGCACCACCGTTTGTCTAGGAGTCTGGTGCAAAGTGCTGGCAGCTCCCACACTGACACCAGACACTGCTGGCTCCAGAGAACGCTGTGTCTTACGCCCTGAGTAAGCGAAGACACCAGAATACAGAAGGACCTCCCTTTGCTATAGCCTACGGTCCTCCCACTAGAAACAGCAACTCAGAGTGACATGCTGTTCCAAACCCAACAGCCCAGCCTCTAGTAAAAAGGTAGGGTTAGCAGGGTAGCTGGCAAGGCTGAGCGGGGTTGCATCACTTCAGCAGAAACAAGGCAACAGCACCAGCTATGAAGGGGAATAGCTTTCACTGCTGCCACCCATGTCCCCACACCCAGTCCCGCAGGTCTCAGCGCCTATAGGAGCAGGTAGCCAAGCACGGGCACTGCCCAAGGGCCTGGAATAAGTCCTGGGCAGGGGGTGGGAGCAATACGGGCCATTCCTAATGGAGCTCCATGGCCCCTCCCCAGTCAACCCAGAGCTGTGTGTCCTGAGCCCATGTTGTCCGTGATGGCCTGTTGTAATGTTTGTGTCGGGAAGAGGCCCACCTTCTCACCGACAGGCAGTGGGGCATAGGCGTGCGTGAGTGCAATTAACCGAATGGGTCCATTTGGGAAATTGAAGGCCTGGGGAAGCCGGGTGGTTTCTCTGCCTTATGTCAAAGGGCAGGTGTCTGCTCTGAGGGCCTGGTGAGGACCAGGAGCTGAAGCACTGGGGGTGGGGAGAGGAGGGGCGGAGAGATTAGTCTGAGTGAGAGAAGGTGCCTCACTGGGGCGGGAGGGGGAGGTGGAGTTGTGTGCTCCGCAGCAGATGGCAGTGGCCTCGGAACAAAAGGAGGAGAGCCAGAGGAAAGGGGGACCGAGAAACGGAGGACTGGTTTCTGTGAGGCTTCCGAAATGAAGGGACAAACTCAGATGCCCACCTGGAAGCTGCCTGGGGGCTTGCTCGGAAACGGTGATGCAGTGTTTCTAGGGAGACTTGGGGAAAGCCACCTGAAAACATACTGCAGCCCAAACTGAAAGAATCAGCTGTGCAGGTCCCCGGGCTGGAATGCGGGGTTCGGATTCAGGTGCTGGACTTGCTTCCATGTGGAGCTTTGAGCTTGTTCCTTCATCTTTCTGTATCTGTCACCAGGGAAATGTGGGTAATGAAGGGCCCTATTGCATTGGGTTATTGTGAGGACGATTAAGTGGGAAATGCACGTCGAGTACAGAACACAGCGCCTGGTGGACAGGGAGTACCCAAAATGTTGATTATTATAATGTTGATGTTGATGATGATGATGACGATGATCACCCTCTAAAGAAACCTGCATCAGCTCCCCTTCTCTCAGGACTTATTGTTCCCTCAATAGCCACATGTCCCTGGTTGTGGGCATTCTCTGCACTCTTTGTTCTTTTTTTTAAGGATGCTCTTTGGGTCTAAAAGTCCTCTGACGCCCCGCATGATGTGTGTGGTGCCTCAGACCACAGGAGGCAGTGCGGTGTTACAGCAAGGAAAACAGCCCACAATTCAGGGCATCTAAGTTCTAATGTGGCCTCTGTTGCTTATTAGTTTTGTGGACCTTAGAGAAATAATTTCTTGAGCCTTGGTTTATTCATCAGTCAAATGGGAAAGACACCAGTCTTGCTCACATCACAGAATTGTCGTGGAAGTCAAATTAATGTTAACAGTCATGCTGTAAAAATAAAGCTCTGAACCAATATTGGGGATTGTCGGTTAGATTTCAAATGTCCAGAGGTGCAAGTTAGAACAAGTTTGCCCTGTGTCAGGCAGGACATGGCAGGGCATGACTCCAGCTGCCAGCCAGGTGTGCTGTTGGTCGGTGATGTTGGTACCATCAGACAAGAGGGGCTCCCAGGTTCCTTAGGCAGGGATCCGATTAGGCAACCAGTGTTCGTGCCCAGGGCAGACTGTGGAAGGGTTGCGGGGGCGGGGGGCGCATAGGGATAGAAAGTAGAGAGGCTACATGAAAAAGTGCCAAGAAAGGGGCATGGTGACACAAAGCTGGACTAACTCCCGATTCTGTCACAAACAGGGGGCTCCTTTCCCACGGCTTTACATATCTTTACATGCCCATTAAAATAACCTGGTATACCACTTCTGCAATCAGCGTCCTCCAAACACAGTAAAATAAAAGAATGGTGCCCCTCCCCACCACTATCAGTCAGTATGTTCAAGTTCAATATCAGTACCAACGATCGGGTGAAAAAGCCCTGTGGTCAGATGGGTTTCCCAGGTGGTCCCCGAAGCCTGACATTGTTCCAAGCAAGTTACGGCCCTCACAGGGCCCACACACAGAAACTACCTTGACAGACAAATACATCTGAGCGGCTGTTGATAAGATAAATAATAATAACTTCCATTTACTGAACACCTACTACATGCCAGACACTGTGCAGGGCTCTATATGTTTAATCTTTAATTTAGTCTTTATAACAACGTGTTCATTATTAACCCCATTGTATAAACCAGAAACCTGAGGCCTAGAGCAGTGAGAAACTTTCCTACAGTCACAAAGCAAGTGGAGCTGGATTTTGCCCAGATCCCAAATCCATGTCATCAGCATTTTTGCTCCCACCTTTTCACCTCTGCCCTGCACCGCCCCTCCGCCCCATCTCCAACTCTTTCTTGAAGAACTGAGGACATCTGGAAAGGAAGCTGGAGCAAGAAAGAGAAACTGCAATGAGACAGGGATGCCCAAACTCAAGAATAAGGAAACCCTTCTTTGTTCAGGCCTCCAGGTCAGACACCTTCATCTGGGCAGCCCTCAGGCTACTAGCTTGTGATCCAATGTCAGTTACTCCACAGTTAAAATTGTAGCCCCTTACTTCTTGCATGTCCTCCCCTGTCATCCCTGGCTTAAGACTAAAACAGGAGTCCCTGAGAGCAACAGGAAATTCTAACCCAGAATGGAACAATGCAGACTCTTGACACAGGGTGTGACTTCAGTGATGTCAGCCTCAGCTGCTTACTGCACCCCGGACAGCTGTCCATCTGCCATGGCTCAATGCCCCGCCCAGAGGAGGGGTCTTCAGACTGCCCCATATGCTGGGGCTGTCACTCAGGTTGTAGAGGCCAAGCTAAGGGGGGAGGGTGTGGGTCACAAACAAAGCTGTTTCCTGAGTTTTCCATTAAGGTGGACAGTTGAGACAATGGCAAGGCTAAGGCAGCTGACAGCATCTGCTGGAGAAAAAGGAGCGAATACTCCCCCCCAGTGCCAGCCTCCTTGCAAAGGAGAGCCTTGAGGTCTGGCTCTGTGACCGACTCTAGGGAGAAAGAAGAAGTTGTCCCCTCAGAAGACTCCAGGGGCCAGGCAAAGAACCTTCTCTCTTCAAAGAGAAGGGGCAGGAGGCAAGAATTTCTCCCCACCCTCACCCCTCAGACATGAGCCCCAGGCCCAAGCCCCACTCACCCTCTCTGCCTCATTCAGCCTCCTTCTTGCAACACCAGAGGGGGCTCCCTCCCAGTCTGCAGCAGAAAGAGAAACTCCAGTGTCCCAAACTGCACATATGTCAATCAACCTGTCACAAAGCAAACACAAAGAAGAACCCAGGGTCACTCTAGGAGAGAAAAAGAACAGGCTTTGTGGTTTGCCAGTTGTTCATTCACTGGGAAATGACATCTTTGTCCACACGTATTTGGAAGATTCTGCAAAGCATAAATGCATCTCTGATCAAAGAAGTTCAAAGCACTCTGCAGAAATGGCACAGATTCTGCAAGGTGCCTAAACAGTAGGACTCTGGGTGGGGGCGGGAGGGAAGTCATCTCCCTCATTCATAAGATCATTTATTAGGGCACTGACACTAGTTGCTGATGCCTGTTCACCTAAAGGAGTAAAGCCGTGTCTCAAAGAATCTCTCCTACACCCAAGGGAGAATGTACCCATAATTCTCTCATTAATTTTCTTAACTTATTTAGAAGAACTATTATGTTTTTCTCCCCCATCTACAGATAATCAAACTGAGTTTGCCATAAATAAATCTATAACACATGGAAAGATCTAATTTTAGCATCAGGAGACGCGGATTTTAAGTTCTAGCTTGTTGTGTCCTTTAGGGTGGATTGCTTCCATACATGTGTCTCAGTTTCTTCATCTGTAAAATGGGGAGAAGGTAGAGTGGGTGAGACCCCCTGGGCCATTAGTAAGAATTATGCAGGTTCAAGTCCCAGCTCCAGTCCTTCTGGCCAATCATTTAACTTTTCTCAGTGTGGGTAATATGTCTCACTTAATGATTTGCTTTTTAATATTAAAATGTGGCTGCAGGAAATAGTAAAATCCACCTTTGAAGAGCGGAATGTGGCACTATCTATCAAAATAAGTATGCACTTACTCTTTGACTCGGAAATCCCAGTTCTAGGAATCTATTTGAAATATACCCTATATGCCCAGGTTGTAATCTCCAGGATCATTGTTAAGTGAAAAAAAAAAATTATAGGAAAAAGTGTGTCTGCTACCATTTACTTAAGAAAATGGGAAGGAATGCAAACATATATACGTATTTGCTTTATTAAAAGAAAAGGACAATAAATATAAAGCATTAAATAAAATTTAAAACGGGAAGAATGAGGCGGCCAGGGAGCAGCTGGACTTTTTTTTTTTTTTAAGATTTTTATTGGGGAATTGGGGGATGGGAACAGTGCTGGGGAATTGGGGGAAGGGGAACAGACAAGTTGCTGTCCTTTTGTTCTTCAGTCTAGTTGTGGAGGACGTTGCTTCACTGGCCCAAGTTGGCACCATCATTGCGCTCTTTCCAGGTGAGGCAGATCAGTCGCCAGCTTCTGGACGGCCGCTCACTGCGGCTTCTGGCCGCTCACGCTGGCTGCTGGCTACACATGGTAGCCCATGGCAATCCACTGCAGCAGTGGCTGCAGCCTACGCTGTCGCCGGCGACTCAGGGCAGCCCAGCTCCAGGTCGAGCTGTTGTTCAGCATCTTAGCTGTAGAGGGCAGTGTCACTGGCCCTCATATGTGGGATCCAAACTGGGGCTCTCTGGTGTCCCAAGCCAGCTCTTAACCATCGCGCCACTCGGACGGCCCGCAGCTGGACTTTTAATACACCTTGTTTTATAGATTTGCTTTGGAACATGTAAGTAGCTGACATAATTATAAAGCATAATTAATATTTTAAAAGAAATCCCTAAAATAAAAAGAAAACTCAACAAATGAGTCTATGTGTCCAAATGGTTAGCACAACTACACATAGAGAAATCAAAACACAGTAATTGGACTGTATATTCTTAGAGGGAAATACCCTAAGGATAAAAAGAACTGCTTCCCCCCCCCAATCTTAAACTGTTCTTAATAATCATATTATTGATGGTACCATGGTATTATTATTATGAGGCTTTTGTATGTGTATTTTGTGATAAATCAAATGAGTAAGAATATTGATGTTGCTTAGAAACAAGAGTTTCTTGTTGAAAGGAGATACAAATATCAGATTCTTGAGATGAGGCAAAAATTCTGTAGCCCTGACAATGAACTACAAGTATCAGTATGAACTCCATATGTTTTATCTTACACACACACACACACACACACACACACACACACACACACACACACACACAGAGTTTCCTAGCTCTGTTCACTGTAAGGCCTAGAAACAGGATCATTCTGATAGGAATGAACACCCCTAGAAATCAGATTATGAACACTAAATACCATCCCCCCACAAAGGAATCAGGCTTCCTTAGAGAAATGTCAGATGTAGCAAATGCATAAGATGAGCCTAGAATATCTCATCACATCAGAAAAGCATACAAAGTGGGCTGGCCGAGTGGCGAGATGGTTAGGAGTTGGCTTGGGATGCCAGCTCTGAGCAGCAGGGCCCAGGTTTGGATACCACGAGGGCCAGTGACGCTGCACCCTCTACTGCTAAGATGGTGAACAACAGCTTGACCTGGAGCTGGGCAGCTGTGAGTCGTAGGCTGCAGTGGGGCTGGCCAGCAGCTGGCATGCACTTTCGTGAGCTGCCGCGAGATGCTGTGAGCAGCCGTCCAATGGCCGGTGAGCGACTGCCTCACCCGGGAAGAGCGCAATGATAATACCAACATGGGCCAGTGAAGCGACGTCCTCCACAACTAGACGGAAGACCAAAAGGACAGCAACTTGTCTGTTCCTCTTCCCTGATTCCCCATGTCCCCCTCCCCCAATTCCCCAATAAAATCTTTAAAAAAAAAAAAAAAGCAAACAAAGTACCAAAGATTACTAGAGTCATGCCAAAAGAACTCAGAAGCCAACCCGGAGAAGCCTTCCCTGGTCAAGCTGAGCTTCAATCAGGACCATAACTGCAATAGAATGAAACATTAACAAATGTGTTTAAATCTTACAAACCCCAGTTAACACTTTAAAAAAAAACAAATAACCCATGAGTCACCTATTGGAGATGTTAGGGAAATACTTCATTATTTTAAAAACTGGTGAATAAAGTAAAAGAAGGGGTGAGCAGGGGTATAGCTGAGTCAAAATTGGCCTTGGGCTGGTAACTGTTGAAGAGAGTAACGGGTACATTGGGTTCATTATGTTATTCTCTTTTCTTTTATAAAACATTTTCAAAATAAAAATAAAATTTAAGTGATACAACAGGTTGAGAAATGGGAAATCATTAGGATGCTAATTCTTGAAATTCTTTTGAACCACAGTCACATAATTGGAACAAAATCCAATATGTTCCAACAGTATGATGACAAAGGATGTAGATATTATTATCGCCAGTCTACACTAGAGGAACTAAGTGTAAAGAATCCATTGAGTCAGGATTCAAGCCCGCATGTGTTTATCCAAAGGCCTACTATTTCACAGTTGCCTCTTCAATGTCTTCATTTGTATATCTGGGTTAACAAAACTTTCCTTGCCTATATGATGGTATTGGGGCACTGTAGTGAGAAAATATATGGGAAAGCACTTGGAAAACAATTCTTCGTACAGATATTTTATTGTCATTTGAAAATTGGGGACCAGATCTACCCTGTGGGGTTGCTGTGAGGATCAAATGAGAGCTGTGATTTGAAGCTAGATGGACAGATACAAAGACAGACAGCTGAGAACCCTTAAAGATGAATGAGATTACAATCACCACCAAAGCGTTTATCATCTCTCATAGGACTGCAGGGTTAAAAGACAAGTGGAACTTAGAACCCAGTGTATGGACTCTGTATTTGAACCAAGGATAGGAAGGTTCCCGGAAGGACACCTGATGCTCTGGGGAGAAACAGGGATCAAGAAAGACACCTGATATCCTGCAGGCTGCAAGAAGAATGCCTCAGTCACAGATCAGTGGAGCCCAGGGTCAGGTTGCTGGGTGCCTTGGGCACTGCCTCCAGATTCCAGGCCAGACACCTGCTGGCTTCCTCTGAGTGAGGCCTGGGCCAGAGGGGTATGGGCAAGAAAAGGCACTCCCAAGGACAAGAGGAATGCAAAGCATGTCAGGTTAATGACAGGAAGGAGTGTCTGGGATGCTCACCAGCTCCCAAACTGCTCTCTCGGCATTCATGTCTAATGTCTGCCTGGGGAGTATTTACAGATTTCTTCTCAGCAAATGTTTATTCTCAGAGTGTCATTCCCTCTGCCAGAGAATAAAAGCAGGTCTGGGGAGTCTCTAATATTTTCTTTCCTGGAAATTCTTTGATTGTATCAGTGCATATTTCTAAAGAAGCACAAAGTCAAACTTCTCCTGGTCCTGGTTCACAGTGCTTCCTCTCCTTGGATATTCATTCTGTGCTCAGGGAACAAAGGCTCATTTTATCTCTGTCTCTCTTTCTCTCTTGAAGTTCTTTTTTTTTTTTAGATTTTTTATTGGGGAATTGGGGGAGGGGAACAGCGCTGGGGAATCGGTGGAAGGGGAACAGACAAGTTGCTGTTGTTTTTGTTCTTCAGTCTAGTTGTAGAGGATGTCGCCTCACTGGCCCAAGCTGGCACCATCACTGCACTCTTCCCGGGCGAGGCAGATCAGTCGCCGGCTGGCCGCTCACACTGGCTGCCGGCTACACACGGTAGCCCATGGCAACCCACTGCAGCAGGGGACTGCAGCTTACGCTGTCGCCAGTGACCCACGGCAGCCCAGCCTCAGGTCGAGCTGCCGTTCACCATCTTAGCTGCAGAGGGCAGTGTCACTGGCCCTCACATGTGGGATCCAAACAGGGGCCCTCTGGCATCCCAAGCCAGTTCTTAACCATCGCGCCACTCGGCCGGCCCTCTCTCTTGAGGTTCTTACTTAAGCA